AAGATGCCATTGTTTTATGACGGTAATGAAAACAAGCTGTGAGGGATGCAAATGTGTTAGTTCATGTCTCCTTGCCTGTCCAGCTGAAAAGAGCCAAAAACCTCTATATAACCAGTTTTGTAAAAAAAAAAAAAAAAAATTTAAATAGCCTAAAAAATACAACTGATAACTAGTAAAACTGTTGACCAGGCGTTTATAAACATTAGACCTAAAATTATACCATTATATTAATCCAATTACTATAGTTCAACTCAGCAGAATCTGTAACATAATTTTTAATATTTTGTTAGGAAAATTTACATTACCATCTACTGTCAGAAATAGGAAATACATTCATATCATGGTACTTCTTTTGTAAGTGTTAGGGCCTCTATGTCCCTTCCTCAGCTTCTTAAAATCAAACAGCTGTGAATGTATTAGTGCCAGTAAAATCAGCAAATGTTTATGTCCATTGTAACCACGTTACATATTTTGTCATCTTGACCTTAAATGATATCAGAAAACAGTCCAGTAATTGACTTTTAAAAAGTTATTTAGGAATACTCACACAGTGTAACCAACCAAGCTGACTAATTCTGATATCTGCCTATAGGATCTGTCACCCTGTAAACTGCAGCTGTTTTGTGAGTAATGGGATATCAGCTCTGACATCATTAATGACCGTAACAGTTACGTTTCTCTCCCTTATTGTTGAGACACATGGAAGAATTTAGCTGAAATGTGCAATCGATGTGAGTCATAAGGATTCTCACTGACTGTGAATCTTCTCAGCTCCCAGACAGGATGTTGACCTTGTTTAGCCATCTTATACCCTATTTTTGGGTTTCTGTTGTGTTCGCCCGAATCCGACAAGAAGAACAAGCTGACTACTTTACCTGCAAATAGGACCTTGATTTCTCAGGTCATCCACAGATTTCATAAAAGCCATTCAGGTAAACAAGATTAAATGCACTTCTTGGAAATTCATTTTGACAACATGCTGACGTTAAAACTATGTTCAATTCGGCTGTCTGAAGCACAATCTTTCAAAAGAAATATTAAGCATTTGACATGGCTAAAAATTATTTTTTAAATTGTGGTCAAGTATTTGTCATGCGGTGTGACCTACATGCTAGCATAATGTGGATGCTGTCTGCCTGATCTGTGCTTTATTGAGCAATTTTCTGTTGGGCTGGAGTCCCGGTTTTAATGAGTATTTAAGTTCCATTAGCCCCCCACTAATTTTATAGCCAAATTTAGCATGATGTCTTTACTGGTTAAATAATCACTGTCTGGCATGTGTTAGAAAATGCGTCTTGATAATAACAAGCAGACACATGAACGAGTACTACATTTCTTGTTAAGCTTCTCTGTTAAAAATATGTTATGAGACTTAAGGAATAGAAGAACCACAATCACAAATGGCTTTATCGAGACACATAAAGCCAAATAAACGTGCACACGAAACAAGCTGTTGTTTCCCACAGTGCTTTATTACTCTCCACTTAGTGTCATCATGGGAACTAGCAGTGTGTACAATAAATCATCTGGTATTTTCAGAGAGCATTTGGCTTCACCGGGCAGGCCAATTGTTATGGACATTTCAGCACTTAATATACAAAGCTTTTAGATGTCACTTGAGGATAAAGTGAGATGACATCATACACTTTCTCATGGCTAGACTTCTCTCCTGATTCTCTGGGCATGAGTTGGATAAATAAGAATTAAGGTAGAATCCTAGGAATGCAGATTAATTCTTTTTGCACCAATTACATCAGTGATATTATTTTAGTTTAAACTGCATGTTTACAGCCTCCAAACATCAGTGAGTCTTGTCTGAAGAAAATTAACTTACAAGAAAATCAGATGCTCTTATTTCTGCAATTTCTACTTTTATGGTCACTCTGATTTTGGATACTAACCCCAAAAGTTTTTTATTTTTACAAATATATACTTTTAAGTTATAAAAGTATACAAAAATGTATGTATGTATATGTGTGTTTATATATATATATATATATATATTTGTGTGTGTATAGGACAAATCCATAAAATTCATAATCACTAAATTATTCACTAACCACTAACTCTCAAGCAAGTTTAGTTCACGTTGACTGACTCAAACCAGTTCATACGAGCCATTTTCATCACGCTGTAATGTAGAACTGCCCTAAACTACACATTTTCTGCTGTCAATATCAACTAGCAATAGAGCACAACGACCACCAACTGTTTGATGGTATAAGTTCCAGAAGTATTGTTTTTTTATTCATTTTCTCCATAGGCATTTCAATTACTAACTAGCTCTAAGATTAATCAAACGACCTTGCAGCTCCTAATAGGTTTGGTTCAAAAGTGTTTTGCTAGAAATCAGTTTATCCAATGAGACAACTAAGAGAATATTACTTCTGGAACCATACTCGTGTGATCTTTAAATCTATAACACTTTAATATTATTACTTCTCTGTACTAAGTTTTTGTACTTTCAGTTTCACTCTTAGTCTGTCCTCTATTGCTAAACCTTCTTTAGTCTAGTACATTATCTAGAGAACAACATCCCACACTCATCCTCTATCTATCCTCCCTTTTTGTGAGATATAACATTACTAGTGTTGTCACCCCAAACCTAAAGAGATCCTGCAGATTTAAATAATTACACGTTATCTTACATCTCCCTTTTGAAGAAAATGTGTTGGAGTTTTTTTTCCCCCGTCAGCTTCAGTTCCAGCAGGTTTCAAATAAGCCTTTCTAGGCTGGATATCATCCTCGACATAGCACTGAGACAGTTCTCCACAGGTTGTTAATGACCTCCTCCTTTCTGTTGTCTCAAATCTTCTCAATTTGAACCGTCAACCATGAACGGCTTTGCATGTGATACTGTCTGCAGTAATATACTTAAGCAATTGGCATTGCTGACACAGTTCACTTCTGGTTCACTTCTTACCGTAATGAAAGTTGTAGTAGTTTTTTTTTTCAATAACACAATCCCTCCAGCCCTTCTTACAAGAGGTGTTCCCCAGGGATCTGTTCTTGGTCCTCACCTTTTTGTAAACTGGTAAAACATCTACTATACAATAATAAAATGTTTTCAGTTTGCAAACAATACATATCTTGTTTGCAGTTAAATGTATTTTGATATAATACATGGCTACTTTGGAATAGTTGTACCGTAGTACACACATCTACCAGCAGGGGCTAACAGCATCATGTTAACCAGCATAAAATATTATGCTCTTGTTGGTTTTGCCCCACAGTACTTGCTGATCTGCTGATCTACTCTTATACTGTACCTTGAGTATCAGCCACAGTTGTACTAATTTATACGGAAGTGAAATCCATTTAAATGAGTTTCATAATTTGAATCCAATGTCTTTATTATGTTTGGTTTGCTTATTTAATGCAGCCATTATAATGTCAGGCAAAAGTAAATCTATTCACAACTGGATAATAAAAGAGGTTTCACCATTCAGCAGTTGTACGGCTTCATCATTCATCTGAGTGACCTTATCAGGTTTGGTGGCCTCATCACTTGATGATTAATTAAATACAGGAGCCACTTAAGTCGGTGAAGCTTTGAAATACTTCAACTTCACAGTGTTCGGTTTTCCCACAGGCCTTCCCTGGTAATGATTCACTCACCACTCATGTGATCCTTCTAACTCTCCACCATTGCCTCACTGGCCCTCTCTTTTTTTCTCCCATAAACCTCTTGACTGTGTGTATGTAACTGAACCCCAGTGGAAGTGCCATGGACCAGCTCCAAAAGCTTCTATCTTCCCTCCCTCTCTCCTCTGTCATCCTCTCATTTTCGTTTTCGGCTGTTCCCTCCCACATGATCTCCCAACTTCCACCAGAAGGCCTCCCTCCCCCACAACCATCTCCCGTTCTCCTTTTCCATTTCCTTCTTTGGTGAAAATGCTGACTCATCTCAGTGACTATATCAGGTTTGGTGGCCTCATCACTTGTTGATTAATTAAATACAGGAGCCACTTAAGTCGGTGAAGCTTTGAAATACTTCAACTTCACAGTGTTCGGTTTTCCCACAGGCCTTCCCTGGTAATGATTCACTCACCACTCATGTGATCCTTCTAACTCTCCACCATTGCCTCACTGGCCCTCTCTTTTTTTCTCCCATAAACCTCTTGACTGTGTGTATGTAACTGAACCCCAGTGGAAGTGCCATGGACCAGCTCCAAAAGCTTCTATCTTCCCTCCCTCTCTCCTCTGTCATCCTCTCATTTTCGTTTTCGGCTGTTCCCTCCCACATGATCTCCCAACTTCCACCAGAAGGCCTCCCTCCCCCACCACCATGTCCCGTTCTCCTTTTCCATTTCCTTCTTTGGTGAAAATGCTGAAAAAGAGAAGGGGAGGAAGACCTTCACCAGTGTTGAGAGGGAGCGGATTTGGCCACGTGTTTTTTTAAAGTTCTTATGCCTCATCAAGGCGAAGAAATAGCACTCTCAGCACGTTTGCACAAACACACCCATCTAGAGGCACAAGGTAACCCTGAATGAGATTGTAGAATGTAGACCGTAGTGGATACTAGTAGGCTCTTAGGTAACTGAATGTCCTTGGCCTAAACTGGGTAATTTTTGTACCAGAAATATAGTTTTTGGTGCTTTTGCATAATCTATTCTAGTCTCTAGAAAAAAAAAACATTACAATTGGTTTAATTTATAAAATATTTATCAAAAAACAATCAATAAACTTTTTTTTTTTAAGTTTTTTTTTTTACCACACCTCAAACTTACAAAGCTTGAATCACTTTAATTAAGAAATGCACATTAGCCAACTCTTCTGCATTAAAGCTCAAAGTGATTACACTTATATATATTTAGAAATATTCAGAAGGTGAAACTAGTAAAATTGGCATCAATAAAATAACAATAATGTCTCAATTTGACAAAGTTTGACAACATGCATACTATAATTGTTGACATACTAACACACATATTGTTTCATTTCATTCACTCTTAACACGAAGACTAAAGAAAAGAAGAAAAAAGGAGATTAAAGAAATTATGACTGTAGAGGTCATAACGAATTATCAAACAATTAAAAAACAGGAAGTGAACAGGAAATAATATGTAGTTTGTGTATATACAGTGTAATGCGTGCTGTATCTTGAAGTTTTTGTGCTTTTATATATAATTCAAGCTAGTAGTGCAAATGCAATTCTGTCTTCCACCTGTAGACAAAAAGCATTTCAAACTTCATTTTCCCACATATTTCTGGACTGCAGAAACATTTCAGCTGTAATTTTTTCTGACATTGCTATGCATTTTGGAAGACTCCCACTGAAATGAATGCATGCATGTGCAATGCATCAAATGTAGTTTGATGCTGAAGTTCGGCTAAGAAAGACAAAAGGTTTCAGTGAAGTTCTAGAAAAAAGTGCTCACTAACTACAGCAGTCACACATATTTGTGTGACATATATGGTGTGTGAATGCTTAGATGTTCAGCTTTGGGTGGCTGCTTCTCAAAGTGTAACTTTCATTGTTCCCAAGACTTAAAATCAGTCGTGCTTTCATTTACGTACACTTTGATTGGCACAGAGTGTTTGGAACAATTCTAAATGGGCGTTCAGTCACTTCAACAGAACACCAAACCTTTGACCTTTGAGTGTTTATGAGTTCTTTCACAGGCTGTAAACACAGACTACATCCACCCATTAATGACCATTACCAGCCTAATGACAGTTCTGGCTGGCCAGGAAAAATAAAGATGGGAATAACTAGTAGGCAGATCAGATATTTTTATCTGTGCATAGAGACCTACACATTTATAGAGTGTTGATTCTGGATTGTGCAATGGACAGACTGTAGTTGGAACTCAGCATTGCGTGGCTTTACCAACTCAACAGCAATCTCTGGTGCATCTTTTAAAGTCTCGTTTATCCAGTCATAAACCAGTAAGCCTATTTTTTTGAGTATTTTGGTGAAACTCAGACCGTTGTGTGTGGGGGCAGATTGCTGGTTTGCTGGGATCTCAAACAGCAGTATCAGCATAGGCATAGCTTGAAATGTGAAGTTCTCACGTGAGGGCACAGCAGTGTAAAATAGACGTGTGCATGTATATGTATGCATGTATATGGGAAGGTAAAGTGTGTGGATAGGGGTTGCATTCTATAAGTTGCCATTGCAGTTGCGACAGAGGATCTCATCTTGCTCAGGGAAGAAGCCAGCGCCCACCAGCGACACAGAGCATCGAGAGCAGGTGAAGCACGGCTGGTGCCATTGCCGGTCCTCGAACGAAATGTACTTTCCTCCACCAAAACCTAAAAGGAAATAAAAAAAACATGTAAGATGTCTGTGACATTTCCGATGAGTTCAAAACTAACACATCTGTAATCCCTGAACAAAACCTGTTGCGGCACCACTGTCAATTTTTAAACCAAAATGACATCCATGCATATTTTACCTGTAATAGGTTTTTTGCAGGCTTCACACTTCTTCGCGTACAGATTGCCAAAACATTTGAGGCAGTATGGGCTGTCATCACGGGAGGTGAAGTGCTGACCAGCTAGTTGGACTTTACAGCTTGTGCACACAAAGCACTCCTTATGCCATGGCTCTTCCCTATAGGTCACACCACCTTTAGCCAAGGCCTGAGGTGGAGAGAGTTCATCAGAGACACAAACAGTAACCTGTCCGCATGAGCTTCTGTATACTTGACCTAAATCAAGCTACCTGGAAAAAGGTATGACATTCAAATGTATTCATTTGCCATGGTTTGTTATCCATACAGTACAACCTCTTGTTGTGAGAGTACATTCATATAATATTCATGTAATTTACTTGTTTCCAACAATTGAGGTTTGATACGAGATTGTTAAATGATTGATAAATTAGCATATTAGAATTATTTCTGAAGGATCATGCGACACTGAAGAATGGAGTAATGGCTTCTAAAAATTCAGCAATGCCATCACAGGAATAAATGACATTTTATAATATATTAAAATAGCATAATATTACTGTTTTTACTGTATTTTTATCAAATAAATGCAGCCTTAGTGAGCACAAGGGTCTTCTTTAAAAAACAAAAGCACAAAAATCTTATTTAATTAACAAAACATTTATTTAATTCATTTTTTTTTTGTATTTCACAGAACTATAGAGCCAAGACTGCAAACAGATGGTGGTTTGTCAGTACAGGATGTGAAATTGACAGCCAGAGTTAACCAGTGACCAGCAAGACTTCTGATAAGCAACAGGAAGGAGAAATGAGGTCAGAATTCAGACTTTTTGTGGAGGGAATGTGTGTGTGGACTGATGAGGAACACATGGTTACGTATTTCAGGCAGAGAAGCTAGTAAAACCACCACTGACCTGTTTACATCGAGTACAGCGCGGTGCGAACTTGTTCTCATAGCAGGGTACGCAATAGTGGTCATCTTTATCTGGGATAAATGACTTGGAGCCTATTGGTTGTTGACAGCTGTTGCAAATGAAACAGTCCTCATGCCACGTGGAGCCGGCATACTCAAGCTTCCTGGTTCCTGTGTGAGAGGGAGAGAGTGAGAGAGAGAAAAAAAAAAGAAAGGAAGCCTTTAAATTAAACAGTTTCCTTGTTTTTGACAGCTGTTCAGACCACGTTACCACAAAATCTATAAGTTGGTGATGTAACTTTACATATATAATAACTAGGGCAGTGAACTGATTATATATTTGGATCGAGTTAAATATAAATATATATATATATATATATATATATTTGAATTACTTCTGGCCATTATCAAAGCTAGACTATGATCAATTCCACTCATAATTTTGGTGGAAAAGGGTTATGTCTTATTTTCTGATAAAAAAGTATTTTCACCTCTAGGACCACCATTGCATTATTCCATTGTGGGACCTGCTGATGAGCAGGTCACCAACAGTCACTTCACCTGGCTGTGTCACCCAGTGAAAGACTTCGTGGTTCTTAAGAGATCTCACAAGATTCACACGTTACCCAGATCAAAAGACTTGTGAAGATCCTCCTTAAAGAGGCCCCACTGCCAAAATCACTAAAGCTTTACACAGAGAGCAAAAGATAAAGGTCGTAATCCCCTGGATAACAAAAGACATTTTGAAGAAATATCAAGTTACAGTAAGGCCGTCTTGCTCAAGTTCAAAACTCACCCCAAAACATGTCACCACATTCATCAAAGCAAAGTATGAACCATGAAACAGAGCCCTCCATCCTTTCTCTTTCCCTTGTCATCTGCACATCACAAACAAAGGTCCTAACCACTAACAATGTGTTCCTCTTCCTATAAATGTAGCCCTCAGGTTACATGAACTGGGACTCAAAATTGTGGCAGAATATTTTTTTATCTCCTTTTTTTTTTTTTGGTATGGCAGCTTTTGGAGGTTGTAATACAGCTTGATTTGTTCACTAGATTTACCTCTGAAAATAACAGCTACAAATTTTAATTTTAATTTACATTTCCAGGACGAAATAAAAGAATTTGCAAGGCAGCAAAATAAATGTTAAAATTTAAATTTTTGTTTGAATGAAACAGCACATCAGAGCTGCTTTCCCGTTGTCAGGATACTCAGCAAACATCTTTGCAGTCCAAAGGTGACTTTAGATAGTTAAATATGCACACGAAAGAAAAGTCCAACAGGAGTTCAATATGCAAATAGATGTCAGGAAGAAGATCAATCACAATTCAGTATTCAAATAATATGACAACTTCACTGTTGGTTACATTGTCAGTGCTGAACATTCTAACAGTGCTTAATCTACAAAAACCAAGTAGACTAACACACCTAAGACTAAAATTGTTAACAAAATGGCATTACATTACCGTTCAAAAGTTTGGTGTCATTAACATTTTTGTAACGTTTTGGAAGAAGTCTCTTATGTTCACCAAACTGTGATGGTAAAGCTGAATTTACAGCAGCCATTACTCTGGTCCATTTAGAAATCATTCTAATATGCTGATTTGTGCTCAATGTTGAAAACAGTTGTGCTGCTTAATATTTTTGTGGAATACATTTCAGGATACTTTAATGAATAAAAAAATCCAAAAGAACATGATTTATTTGAAATAAAAATCACTTTTAATCCATTTAATGCATCCTTGCTGAAAATAATTTTTTTTACTGGCCCCAAACTTGTGAACAGTAGTGCAAGTGGTTCAAGCTGAATAAATTGCAGAAGTTTCATACTTAGGTTAAAAACAAACTCTAACCACAACTCTAACCGCATTTATGGAAAATCAATGCATTGCAGGAATTAGAAAAATACATAACTTTCAATACAGGGCTCACTTTGCAAGCCTTGTAAAAGAACATACGTAACCTCTTGGAATTGTTACCTGCATTTCAGATGGATGCAGCCTTGCTGATTTAGTTTACTGGCTTATCATCAGATGCTTGGACGGCAGCCATGCGCAATGATTTGGCTGAGAGACAGTAAGCCGCCAGGCAGACTGGCAATTATTTTGTCACATCTAACCTGGTCCTCACTGCTCAACACTCCCTCACATCTCTCTCTCTCTCTATTTTAGTCATGCTGTTGGTACTACAGATTTGCTTTGGCAGAACTTTCCCTCTTTCTCTGTTTGGCTCCTTCATGTTTGTGAATCTAACGTTACCTGCATACCTGTGGCCATGTCAAGCTGTCTGTTTCAGTAGTGTGAAGACTTGCAGTCTTACACAACAAAATTGAGAACAAACTGAAGAAGCAAACTGGTGCCAGAGTGCGAAGGGACTAGATCTGAGACCAGTCTGAACAAGATTTGTCGGGTAATGACTTGAGTTATGACTGATGAGGTGTGCTGATGTCATTCATACCAGGCATGACAGTTTTATCGCAGGCCACACATTTGGAGGAGAACTCATTGCAGTAACAGTCATTGCACAGAAGAGCATCGTCCTGGCTGGTGAAGGGCTTGTCTGCCAGCGAACGGTCACAGCGGAAACAGCGGAAGCAGTGCTCGTGGTAGTGACGGTCCTCGTAAAATAGCTCCTGAATCACATGGACACAACACAGAGATGTTATGAACATTTAAAGGGAGAGTTCATGCAAAAATCATGTTGTATGACCTTCTTTCGTCAATGGAACACAAAAGGAAAAATGTTGAAGAATGTACTTTTGTGTTCCACAGAATAAAAGTAAGTCATACGGGTTTGTAACGACATGTGGGTAACATGAGAGCAAATCATGACAAACTTTTCATTTTTAAAGTGAAATCTCTCTTTAACCAAGAGGCTTTCAATACAAACATGAACTAACAGCAGATGGTGGACCGGGGGCTCCATATTAGAATATTAAAAAATTGTGGTTATTGTTAAAGACAAGTTGACATACCAACATATTAGCTGTGTTTATGAGAAAAAAGTCAAAATAGGCCACAAATTAAACTTAGCTTTTCCTCGATCCCAAGTACATTTCTGATTAAGATCTCAAGTAATAGCAATTCAGCCTCTCAAACGCTAGCACATGTGCATCTAGTTATGAGTGTGTGTCTGTGGAGATCATGGCGCCTGGGTCAACTCCTCATGTAAAATATGTAAACACATAGTAATAAGACAGGGAGGGTGAAATTTATGACCTGTGCTGCAAATGGCCAAGACAAACAGTGACTTAATTTAGCATCTGCTGTCCCTCATTTTCAATAAGTCATCAGACTCTTTGTCTGTAAGCGCATGGACTTGCGATTTCCTGTGGGGAGTTTACTACAGTGGTAAATGAACTGCGCTGTTTGGTTTTTATTTCATTTTGAAGGGATTAGTTACCCTCAAAATGGGAAGGATTAAAGACTCAATTGTTAATATTTTGCCTTCGGTTTTTAACATTGTTGCCTGAATACTGAAGCTGAATGACATTTCTAATTGGACAATAAATGCCTCTCTCAAAAGATCTGCTAAATGGACAGTTTCAGCCTGAAACCACATTAAAATGCTTTTACAGTGTAATTGAGCCTCAAATTTTTCCAACCACCATGGATATGCTCCTGTAAAATCAACATTTTGCTGTAGAAAGTAAACCAGACACTATTTGCAAGGCTTTTCAGTTTGTTATAGCTTGTTAGGCAAATTCATTATGTTAACCAACAGAAAGAAAGATCTGAAAGTGACTTCTTTGTGAGCTGTGCAATGGACCTTTTTGTATGCAAATTTTCATCAAAATGTGATGGCACCTTAAAGCAACAGTCCATATTTATTTTCATTGTATTTAAAAGAGCAGCTTAAACATTCTGCAAACATATCTCCTTTTGTGTTCCACAGAAGAAATAAAGTAATACAGGTTTGGAATGACACAAGGGAGAGTAAATTAGGAGAATTATCCCTTTAATAAGCACAACTCACTCTTGAATCATGGCCAATCAGCTCTTTGCACTCATCACAGGTGTTGGCGAACAGGCTGTCGTAGCAAGGGATGCAGTAAGGGTTGTCCTCCGCCTGGATGTACTTCCTGCCGTATAAGGACTCCTTGCAGTTGTCACAGTCAAAACGCTCGCTCATGTTGCTCCTGATCCGAGTCGGTCCCTGTAACACACAAGGAACATTCAGACAGGTAAGCCTTCAAGTCATGGCTACATCGCACTGAGAGAAAGAGTCACACACTAACAAACACAAACAGGCAGATCTGTCATGAAGCACTGTGCAAAATGTCTATTAAGTTTTATAGCTCTGTGATGATAGCTGGGAAATGAGAGGGAGGAAGCTGGAATTTTAGCAAGTGCACAACTCTGTGCTGCATGTGACGTGGAAGCTGTAGCGGAGCTTCAACAGGAGCCCACTTTTAGACATTTCTAAGTCTGACCCCCACTTTTTGAGAGATGATCATTGTGTTTTAGGAGCTTTGCTTTGCTTGGCCACAGAGCAAAGACCAATGTTTCTCAATGTTTTTTTCACTCACACTGTGATGACTGTGTTTTTGAGACACTGTAGCAAGATAAAAGTACTTAAAGGGTTAGTTCACCCAAAAATTTAAATTAGCTTGTGTTTTACTCACCCCCGAGGCATCCTAGGTGTATATGACTTTCTTCTTTCAGACGAATCCAGTCGGAGTTATATTAAAAATTGTCCTGGCTATTCCAAGCTCTATCATTGCAGTCAGAGGGTGTTGCAGTTGAACAGTCCACAAGTCGTCAAATAAAGCTCGCGCATTCATAATAAAACATGCCGCAGACGGCTCCGGGGGATGAATAAAGGCTCCCTGTAGCGAATCCATGTGTTTTTGTAAGAAAAATAAAGAAAGGGGTCAAAGTACGCACATCCAAAAAAGTCTTGGCCAGGTGCAAGATCAAACAAAAGGTACATCAAATAATAGAAAAAAGATCTGCACACGGTTATTCTCCCTTTATTCAAAAAAGTTAAAAATAGCAACGTTTCGGTCAAAGACCTTCGTGTTTGCCTGACGAAGGTCTTTGACCGAAACGTTGCTATTTTTAACTTTTTTGAATAAAGGGAGAATAACAGTGTGCAGATCTTTTTGTAAGAAAAATATCCATATTTCAAATGTAATAAACACTCTTCTCTCACTTCCGCTGACTGTCATTCACTGAAGCAGTTCTGGCACGTATGCGCAGCGCGCGCGCCTCTGAGGTATGCTAGTCTCGCGAGTTTGTTTATAGGAGCAAATGAAGCAAAGTTTCCTTACTTTAGTAATGATAGAGCTTTAGCTAGCCAGGACGATTTTTAATATAACTCCGACTGGATTCGTCTGAAAGAAGAAAGTCATATACACCTAGGATGCTTCGAGGGTAAGTAAAACACAAGCTAATTTTCATTTTTGGGTGAACTAACCCTTTAAATAAAAAAATAAAAAAACAATATTTTTTCCTAAAATGTTGTCTGCATCTTGTTGTTTTTGCATGAAAGAAAACGACACCTTAATATATCTAGCCTTTTACGTAATCAGGCAAACATTACATCAAAATGTAATGTTCACAAACCAGAATTATAGCTGAATGATTATTGATAAATTTAATAAATTTAAAGTTATTCATGAGCCCAACTTTTCAAACCATTGCTTGCACATATGACCAAATAGGCTAAATAAATAAAAATTACAGGCATTTTCCTCTTTATTATAGGTTTATCAAATTTCTGGAGTTTGCATCTAACCCAGACGTTCTCACTTAGTCATCCACGTGCCGAAAAAAAGACAAACCCCTCACTGCCTGACAGATAAAAGGCCTGCAAGATCACAGAGGTAAGACTATATTCTTGACTGTTGGAGGTCTGTGAATTTGCATGCTTCACAAGCAAATATTTGTGAAGTAAACACTTCTACCTTGGATGTGCAGACCACCTAGGGAGATTGTTTAGAGAACCGCAAATGTGACGAGGACTCTTCATTTTTTTGAAAGAACAAGCACTGATCCCAAAACAACACAGATGGGTTTGTGTTTTTTATTTTGTAATGCCTGTCTTACATCAGATGCTCTAGGGGAGTACGGATCAGATTTGTTCACATTCGATACAATAACATACCCCACGTTCACAATGCGAGGTGTTAAAACCATTTACAGTAAACACAAAAACTGACAGTGCAATAAAAACACCAGCTTGACCTTAACATGAGCGTACGGCTCTGCAAGTGCCCGTCACGGAATAATATTGTTACAGCATTGCGGCAACGCTATCAGGTTGCCAAAACATTACCGAGATGTTGGAGGAAAGCCTTATGATAAGTGATAGGCCTCCCTGGCAGAGACAAGCTCAGTGTATCAGTTTCCACCCCGCTAATAATAATAATCAGCCACCGCTGAAATAATGAATCTATTTGCGCTCCCTGTCTTACACACGCCTACAGGGAGGGTGTAATCACAGGATGCAAGATGAAAGATATCAACCACCATGTTTCATCTTTCCTCTTTCTCCTGGCATGACAAAAGGCTCAAATAATCGTGGGTGTGAAAGGCTAAGATAAAAAAAGGGCAACACACCTCCCCAAGCTTCATAAATAATCAGCTGACACTCTTTTACTACGATGATACCACTTACCCTCAGCTGAGAGCTGCTTTAAAAGATTCTCTGCCTTGGATCTGCTCGTAAATTAGGGAGTGTTAATGTTAAAGGCTCCTGTGGCCTGAGGCTGCCCCTGGTTTACATCATTACAGACCTGCGTTTGAGGGAATATGAACCTTCTTTGTTCCCATCAAGGCTATCATGGTTCTGTGTTTCTTGCATCTCAATGAGATCATCACACACTTTTTTCGGCCTTTTTTAGTCAAATGTACATTAAAAATGCAAATTTGCTTTTAAAATATATTATGGCTTTGTAGAGATAAGGCAAGGTTGATTCAGGATGTAAAATGTCATGTGTGACTCTCCAAAAACTTATATAATATAAAAATATATTTAAATATTTTTTTTGAAAATAATGATTTATTTTAAGATGTGCACACTCACATATTCAAGGTGTAAGAAAACAATATTACTACTTGATGGTTACACCACTTAATATTTTTGATCGTCGTTAAACTAAAACTTTTCTTTAAAAATATGTTTTGAAAACCAAACTAAATCAAGCATTTCAAAGAAATTGGCATACATATTAAACTTGATTTTTCCTTTATTTATTCTGATAAGCCTTTAACATCATTATTCTGTACCATAGCATGCCCAGCAGTGTTATTTTAGTAATATTTATATACTGTTTATATAGGGCTGGACAATAATTCAATATCAATATGTATCGCGATATAATTTTTTTCAATAACGGTGATATGATTTTTAAACATTTCCGATATTTCGATATACATTACCAGTGTTTCCCATACATTGATTTATTTGTGCCGTTTGACTTCGTTGAATAAACATGAGCACTGCACGTTTCAAAATCAAAACACGTCG